AATTTATTCTTAAAGGGCCTCTATGCTACTCTTCATCTCTATCCCACTCACTTGAATTTAACAGAAATCAGTAAGCCTCCATGCACTTAAACCACCCAGAGAAACACATGTTCTTCACAAAGTCTTGAAGGCTGAGACCTGGCTTTCCAACTACTGGGCCGGGAGCCCTTAACAGCTTCTCTATCCTTTCACCTGACAACAAATGGAATCTTGCAGGTGAAATCATGGCCCTACAAAAGCTTCCTCCTCCTTGAGAAAAACCGTATTTCAGGTCTTTGTCTTCTGAAGAGTGATGTGGTAGAATCAAAACAGGAGCTTAATTCCCACTTAGACTAAGTGTTTTGTACTTGCTTTCAAAACCTGTGCCAGATTCGATGAACAAAAAGAAAGCTCAACCAAGAAGTTAGTTTAACTATAAGGCCAAGGGCAATCCACCAGCCTCCCAGCCAGCTGGCCAAAATGATGGGTATCCAACCACAGGCCTTGCCTGCCAGGCAAAGGAATGGAAATCCATTGCTCCAGAACATAAGACTCATGGCAAAAGGCAGGAGAGGACAACACCCAAAGAGCAGTGTCCCTGCAGACAATGGGCTCCATCTGCACTACCACCAGTGTGCCAGCTACCACACTACAGCTTAAGTGACTGCACCTGCCACAGGCACGAAGGCAACACCACCTTCCTAGTGAAGGCTTTAAGTGGTCATGGCTGATCACTGAAATGGAATCAAGTTGAAGCATCATGGAAGCTGTGGTCATCAAAACCCACAGCTGCTTTGGTTATCAGTAGGGCTTTTTCCCCAAGAAGCTGCCTTAGCCACTGACCACCTCTAAACATCAGCTGTCCTTGGCAACTCAAATTGCTAGTAATGAAACAGACAATGTGTGCCATTCTTGAAAGATGCAGAATAATGCTAATGCACATTTTCCTATGTACTGCTGTATCCAATTCCTGATTGGTTTCAGCTCTTGAATTATCTTGAAAAGTAATGCCTCATCCTCAAAATCAAATATTAACCTATTTATTCTTTGATAACAAGCCATTCAGGAAGCAGCAGTACTAACAAATTCTGGCTCCCTACACTGTCCCAGTGGGCTGGTATCTAGGTAAGGAACAAACTTATTTGGCTCATCACATCCTGCCACACCTCTAGAAATGAGATGCAGTTTGCACTTTCCTCTTGGTTGCCCAGCTTTTGACCTATTTTCCCCACTGACATAATTGACTTTTCACAGGGAAACAGCTCTTCTGGAATATAAACTATATTACAGAAGATGGTAAATGAAAGCATAAAATGGCCCATCTCCATTGTGGAGAGAACTAAGCAGGGGGTTACACAGAATCTCATACAAGCACAAATATCATCTGATGTAATTACTAGCAACAGAGAAAAAGAAGATGATCAGCAAGGTGTAAACATATTTTGGTTTATAAAGCTTAGCTGTGAAGAACTAGATTTGATCTAACACAGATGAGTAACAGAAGTTCCAGGAGTTAATTATTCCCCAAGGATTCAGCTGTACTGGAGCTACACAAACATCTTACTGGATCCCAAATTAATTCAAAATAAACTGTGACCAAACAGGGAAGAGCCACAAACTCATCCCCTTTACAAACAGCAATACCCAACACGTGAGACTACAAGTACAGGTGAGGAAAGAACAGTATGAAAAAGATTTATGGACATCACAGCAAGAGCACTCTGCTTATGCTGAGTCTACATGCAGAGCACAATGAGGTCCTGAACCTGCAAAACGAGACAGCAGGAACAAAACATTTTTGTAAGCAAACTCCTTAAATCATCTGAGGTGTTCAAGGTACTTCTGTTTTACAGTTCAGTAGAAAAGAGCAGGATAGAATTATGCAGCAATTGTTCCATATATTTACAGCAGATTTTATGTAGAGTTTGACTTCAGTGAAGGTCAGATTAATATTCTATGGCTTACAGTTAGTTTGCTTAGCTCTTTTAAGGCAATACAAAGGAAATCTCTCCTTTCCTGCCCCTCCCTTGCCACTCTTGGAAAAGATATTGTCAAGGTACAGAAATAATTGTAGAAACCTAGACTTTCTGTGGACATTATGGTTGCATATTAACTACCAGTGACAATAGCAGCTCTGAGGGCAGCATGGGGAGGTGCCCTTCTCTCATACACAAAAGTGAAACCATTCAAAGGATAGGGTACTTTTTTACCTTGTGTACTGCAAGTTCTGAAACAGTCTTACAAAGATAGAAATTTTGGGTGGATACCAGAACCAGGCTGCTTCAAAAAGTAATGCTTCAGCATCCCCCACAAAAGAGTGTGCATCAAAACTAGTGTGAACCACTACAACACATTATTTGCCGAGACTGAGGATGCATGCAATCATATCTCTAACTCAACCTCTCTCAGATTTGTTTTCTTTCTAGTAAGCTCTGATCTCATCTGAAATGTATGCTCTTTTAGCTGCAAGGTCCCCAACTGGCATATGCTGCCTTTGAAACTCTCAGATGTGGCTCCTGACCACAGGAAACCATTTACAGTCTGGCTTGTCATGAAGAACAAAGTGCAAGGATGCCCGCTGCTTTATACTTGCAAATGGGTAGCTGGAACCACTACTTTTACCTAGGACAACAGGCACACCTTGTTTTCTGTGATGCACAGAATCACAGAACAGTTCGGGTTGCAACAGACCTTTAATCTAGTCCACTCTCCCTGAAATGAGTAGGGCCATCCTCAACTACAGAGCCCCATCCAATCTGATGTTTCTAGGCCAATGTTTCCATCCAATACCTCTCTGAGCAACCTGTTCCAGTGCTTTATCACCTTCGTTGTAAAAACCTTCTCTCTTACATCTAATTTAAACCAACCCTCTTGCCTGCACTGCGAAGGCCCTGGAAGCTATGCAGGGTGCCTGCTTACACACTCCCATTCACTTGTTAGACATCATTTGTTTCCCACCAGCTGCACAGCCTTTGGAAAAGCAGGAGCATCCAAGTAGCACTTTTTTTTTTTAAGAACAGTCTTTTTTATTAATTGCAAGGAAAAGAGAGTGAGCAACAACAGCACAGGCTTCTCCAGTAGCTTTGGAGAATCCCCAGGGCCTGTTTCACACTATGCTCAGCATGGGAATAAAGGAGACAGACGAGGGATCAACTACAGCACTACTTCTGCAACAGAGCAGCACACACCCCTTACTACAATGACAGAAACCCCACAGGTACAGCAGGGAATGAGGCTGGAGATGCTTCCACTTCTGATGTGAAGGATAAACATGAGGTCTCTTCTCAGGAAAAGGCAAATTATTTACACAAGACATTTCATTTGAGAGTAGGATGAGGCAGCAGGGATTCTGCCTTTTTTTTTAAGCTTGCAACAAAGAGTACTCCTGAACAGAGGACACAAAACCACATGGGGCAGACAGAATGACAAAACTGCAAGTCCAAAGCACAGCAAGTGGCACACCAGTGCTCATCTGCTGAGACCCATCACAGTGATGGGTCCTCTCTCCATATCATCTCTGGTATCCATCCATCGGAAGGGACAGGACTTGCAGAAATATCCTGGCCTCAGATAGTAAGTGAATTTCAGAAGAGAACAGTACCCTGCATGGCCTGGTTGAAACATGGAAGATCTCATATTGGAGAGCTCCTGCTTGAGCTGTGTTGTCACCCAAGAAAAACAGCAATTCCCCCTGCCACATGATATACATTTGAGACAGCAAGAAAGAAAAGGCAGGTACTGAGGAGATAATGCTGTGGTTCCAACTGAGCCTGGCCTGTAAGGGCAATGGAAGCACTGTAAAACTTCACTGTAACAGCAGGATACTTGGAAAAACAAAATCTCTACTTCAAGACTGGACAAGCAGTCTGGGCAGGCTACTACTAAGCTGTACCTTGACTCTTGCATAAAATTTTTATTCTTCCTTTTTTTTCGCACAGAATTTAATAATCAAGTAAAAACTAATCTGTAAGACATGTGCCAAGCACCCTCTCACATTTAACCCAGTAGAATGGTTCCTGCACGCTCTGAGGCGCATCACATGTGCCAGTTCGAGGTAGGTTTCTTTTGCCTTTAATCATTTCTCCCATGAATAAGTAACACCTAATGAAAGTGCTCCTACCTTGACAGTATTTGTATTCTGATACCCAACTGCTACTTATATGCCTCCTCTAAGACAGCGTCATGTTAAGATCACAGCAGTAAGGGCAGGAGACATGTGAACACAGACACTGCTTAACAAAAATGCTTAAAGCAGTTGTTTAGCTTAGTACTGATTTCTTATTTCGGACTTTATGCCCAAAGACTGCTGAATTAGCCCCCTTCACAGAGACTTTAAACACAGTGTTCTCTATAATATGTGCACACCAATATATGACAAAATTAAAGCCTGCTTCATGGTAGATTCACCCTCCAGCTCCACAGCCAATACTATTGAACAAGGACTTCTGCAGACATCATACAGGGTCACTCATCGTTCTGCCCTGTCCTGCTCTGTATTTAAGAGTGGACACACCAGCACCTCATTCACACTTGTGCTTACATCACCATCAACCTCGGTGTAATCCCACAGAAGGGAAATCTCAAATCCAGCATTGGTCACGGTCCTCTCAGGTACATCATGTATTTTAAGGAAGAAGATATGCTTTCGTGTTGGAGAATGACTAAGCCAACCAGCTTTCTTCAGTTACCATGGCTGGATCACCATTCATATTCTTCACTGCTGCCCAAGGATTGGTAGCAGAAGTTACCACCACGTCAAGCTCTTTGACCCTGCTGCCCTTTATTGGTAAACTGCCTGCAAGTATCTACTACACACAGAAAGCCAGGCTAGCAAGAACATTGGCAGACCTAGGGGATTAGACTCAACTTGCTTTGATGCCTGTTCATAAACGCTCATATTCTTACATGTTTGTGTAAGAAAATGCCAAATCACTTAGTCACAGATAACACGTCAGAGTACAGCTCATCTCCCACAAAGAGTGCCTTCCATACCACCATTCCTAATTCTGCTGTTGCCTGACAATTTTCCTTTGCAACAGTTGCTAAGCAAAACATTTGCAGTTCAGCTTAGTATCACAACTGACACTTGATGACAATGCTAATGGTTACACGTAAAAAAATCCATGGCTGTTCAGTCTGGTTCAAACCACTGACAAGAAATAGGTAACTCAAATGGAGGACATGCACTTCATGTGCAATTCTGATCACTGCCGTTATGTTTGCTGTCTGTTTTCTCAAATAAAGAACCTTCTGAGCGAGGCAAGGTACATGCAGGCAACAGACAGCAGTGTAAGTGACCACGTGGAAGTCACATTACCTTGGTACAAACAGTCAAGGAACATTTACTGTCACTTGTTTCAGAAGACCTAAAAACCTTATTCCAGAATTGTCCATACAAGGTCTGTCAATATCTACTGAAAATAGGTGCCTTTCTAGCACCCTAAGACATTTCTACCACAAGTCTTCTAATTAGAGGAACTTGACAGTATTTCTCAAAGTTCAAGCTTTCTCTTATAACAGTGCAGTCCAGTGCAAGACCAAAATAAAAAAGATAATTCAAGACAGACTCAATGGACTACATTTTTAATATCTGTGGCTAAGAAACTGTATCATATGTTAGAAGCAACAGCCAGCACCCAACAAAATAGAAAGCAGGAATTCATCTCCTTTCCTCCTGAAATACAAAGGAGTAAAAAGTCTCTAAGGTTGAGAAAAGGAAGGTCCTTCTGACACTACTAGCAAACAAATGGACGGGTTTATTTCAAGCTTGTGCTTAGATCACAAAACTGCTCCTAATTCTCTTCAGCCCAAGAGTCTTTTAAGCAGGTAGATCCCAGTAACAAACAGGCTGGTCAAGAGAAATTCTTTTTCCATTAGCATTGGATCATCACAGGGAAGGGGGAAAAAGGTACACCTCTTCATCCTTCCTCTCCCACATTTAATTTGTGTAAACTTTATCCATGGATGATGGTGTGACTTTTTAGATGAGGCAGGAAGAAGGGGGGTGGAAAAAGACCTTTAGAAGCATGGGGAAAAACAGACTTCTGCAATCTGTCTTCAGAGACGGCTGTAACGCAGGTTGCTGCCAAGTGTTGAAGCTCTAAGGAGGACAAAGGAGGTCTTTACAAATGAACTGCTACTACACCAGAGAAAGGAAAAGCCATGTGTGGTGTATGTGTATGGGCAGAGATGAGTTTGTGAGGAGAAAGAGACAGAAAGAACTGCCTTGTTCAGAAGGAATAGTAGAAAGGTAATTCACAACCTGCCTTGGGCCCCATGGAAGTCTGCTACAGTAATGCCCATGCTGATAGCAAGAATAAGGTAGAGACTGGGCTGTGAAATTATACTTTTCCTCTTATCCAAAACCACACCTCAAAAACTAATGTGAATTTTATACTTAGTTCTCCACCACCACAGCTTATACTCAGCACTCAACAATAGCTATCCAAGCCCTTAAACCAAGGGGCACAGTCTCATTTCCCTGTCACTGTCGAGCTGGTGCTCTAATCTCAGACCATTGGCAAGAACCACCTTTGGTAGAGATAAAGTTATTATGGTCTAAGTCAATTCCTGGCGAAATTCCGCTGGCTTCAAGCTCAGACTAAGATGAATGTAGTTCAGTCCAACCCAGTCTTTGTCATAAAACTGTTCATTTTCTGCTCTCCCCATAGCTTCCTTTGGAGGCTGCAGGGAGAATCATGTCTCTGCAAGAGAAATTGTGGCAAAGTGCATAGCTTCAGAGGAATACAAACATGACACACATTGTTTCAGGGTCTTTGGTTAAGTGCTAATCATCTGGATTTGGATGCCAGTCCCGATTATGAGAAATATGTAGTAAACAGAATCGTGCCATGTGATATGTGGGCTTAACCCTCTTCCCGTTGGCAACTGCACATCAGCAGCACAAAGCTGCAGCAGGAACAGCAAAACAGTCTCCACAAACCTACTGGCTTTTTGTCCTCAGCTTGGTGCTTGCTGCTGTTTCCTCTGAAGAGCTACATCCACATAACAGAAGGCTGCAGAAGGATGTATGCAATTTCGACCATAATCAGCCCCTTGGACATCTGATGTTTGGTGATCTCCCCTGCTCTGACCCAAGCATATGGCTGGGCAATACTACGTGCAGCTTCACAGGGAAAAGGGGACAGGTAATTAAGATGCTGCAGTGAGAGGCTCAAGCTGATCTTGTCTGTGGGCCAGGAAGAAATAATCCCACTTCCAACATGCTGAATAAGCTGTGGGTGGGCTTGAAGGGATGTAGCTGTCCCAACCCTTTCCTCAGCAAGCAATCACACGATTGTTACACATACAGTAGGTACTGGCCATCACCCAGGGACACCACAGCTGCTGCACAAGCATCCAGCACGGGGCATTGCTCGCTGTGCTCCTGCTCCAACTGCTGCCACACGTCACAGTTATGACCACACAACCCTACACCAGCACCCACCACAGGCTGGGAAGAGTAAGTGACCTGAACCAGCACGCTAGAAGCCAGGCAGTAAAGAATTTCAGTCCTCTGCTCCCATGGGATTCTCTTCTCTTCCATGGGATCACATATGCAATTATCAAGGCACGTAGGACCTAACCTTTGCAAGACTCTTACTTCCTCTTATGCAGTCAGATGGCCACACAGCATTGTACTTGTAAGGGAAATATTTTCTTCCTGCAGAAATCAGACAATACAACTCAGAAAGGAGAGTTTTCACAGATTAAATTTAACTTGATATTTAACAAGCCTAGCTACACTTACTAGTGGCCCAGGACCTCCTCACATCCTACCTCCTACATCCTATGCAGCACACTGGTACTGCCAGAGGAAGTTAGTCATTTCCACATTAGACAACCTCCCATGCCATGAACCAGCCAGCTCATTTCTGCACACAGGTAAGGTATTGTTAAGTGCATTAGAATTTATTTCTTCCCTTCTCAGCTGCCAAAACTGCTAAGCCACTTGCATTGCTTAGCAGGCTACTCTAGCACTTTTTTTTCCTGATTTCCTGATGCTTAAGAACCCAACCCTGATAATTTAGAGCCTGTCTCCAGCTCTATGTATGGTTTCTCTGTATTTAGGGCTGCTGTAGGCTGAGGTCTACCCAGGAAAACTCAGAACAGAGGCCTGACATGTTGATGCTGCTTTGAACTACATCTGAAGCAACAGCTAGCAGAACGATAGATGCTCTTATGAACAGTGACAGGGTAGTAAAAGCAGATCAGATCAGAACACTATGCACTGGATGGGGGATAAAGAGATATGCACTCATCAGTGAAGCCATTACAGCAAAGTACCTCCCTGCTGACAGGGAATTCCTGCTGCAGCAGCAACCAGCCCTGTTGTGTTCACCCAAAAGGGCAACACCAGCTCCCAGGCATGAAGGGCCAACCCACAGCAAAACCCTGGGTTCCCCAAGCCCCCTACAGCAGCCTGGCCCCTCCTTAAGGACAGGGGACCAGACTACTGGTACCTGTTCATGGAAGGAGTCTGGTACTCTGCAAAGCAGCATGGCAAAGTCTTCAGGTTTTGAGCTTTCAGACTTGAAGGGCTGAAGACTGCACTTGCTGAGCAGCTCGGTTGCCTCAAAGCTTCAACAACTGAGTTCATGAGAGCTGCACTGAGCTCTGCCAATCTCTGCAGGGCCTAACAGGAGGCAGTTAATGTTCCTGCACAGGCAACAGCAGCAGCTTCTTTCCCAGCTCAGCAGCTGCTGAGCAGTTCTTTGACCAGCCATCAAGCACTCACTTCCAGAAGCCAGGAGACTGCATTGGACTTGAAAGTGAGACAGATGCCAAATCCCAGTCCAGGGCCAATGCTTGGGGAACCAGGAAATGTGATGTTCAGAATGCAGATGTGCTGGTATTTATTTCTACATCAGAAACAGGCAAGAGTGTTTTTTTCTTAGACTCTCTCCAGCTCTTTCCCATTCTCTTGCTGCTCCTTCACTGTGGAGAGCTATCTAGGTTTAACTCCTTCTTATTGTTTTGGTAAATTAATTTTAACACCAATTAAGATTTTTCATCTGGCTCACAGTTCACGTCCACGGGTGGTAAATGTGGGAGCAATGTAGAGGCTGTGCCTTGCAAAGGAGGGAACAAACAGCTATTTCTCAGGCAGCTATGGTTAGAGTTCAGCCCACTTACTCTGTCAAGCAGTAAGCACAGTCTCACTTCTTCCAACATGACTTACTTGTGTCAGGCAGATTTCCATTCCCTACTTCAAAACCCTTCCTCAATCTCAGATATTCTGCATGGCTAGAGGCAAGCAGGTTTTAAGATGCTTTCCTACCTATGGAGAGTTGGCGGACACTTCATTCTTTTCACATGCAAACTAGAACTATCACTTGGACCAAGCTGCAAAAATTCAAGGAATTTGGGCAGGGCATAAATAAAGTGGGAAAGCATTGCTTTGCTTTCCAACACAGCAAAAGGTATTCAGAAGCCTGGAACAAAGCACAAACCTCCAGCTCCATCGAGTGCTGGGAGCCCGGTCTCTTCTCCCTTTGCTGCAGCTCCAAAGGGATCGGTTTCATGGCTGACATCGACCACTTTATTGACAAGCCACCATTTAAGTGGGCAGTCCCACTCTGAACTTACCCTTCACTTCCCCCACCCTACTACCTCCTTTACCTTAGGCTTAACAGTGATAAACTCTGATCTGGCTGAAGACTCACTTTTCCATAGCACATTCAGGTACTGATCACCAGTGTGTCCAACTAAGTAAAAGTGACAGACAAGCACAGTCAGACTGGACTAAAGACTGTGAAACTACATCTGGAGAGAGTCTTGTCCCAAGTAAATGGATGAAGGGAAAACATTCAGCACTTATATATGCCAAAGTTAAATAAATTAAGTGTGAAACAAGATTTTGGCGGGTATTTGGAATAATCAGGGACTGTAAATTTGAATATACTTGATGTCACCCTCTGGCAAATTCTCTAGAATTCACTTTACAGATAGCAATTACACAATACATTTATTCACCCCTTTCATAAGGCTGCAGAAGTAGCAAAGTTTACAAGCCAAAAAGCAGATAAGCACTATATAAACTACAATAAGAGCTCTGGAGTGCATTATCCTGAATATACATACGTGAAATATTTTGCCCACTAATATCTTCTTGGGAAAGCAAAGCAAACAGCAAATGGGAGGGTAAATTAGATCCCAGTTAGCTTGACAGAAACAAGCATGTCTAGTTAATATTTTTATTCTATTCACTTCTACTAAGATCGGCAGGGTGGTGGTTGTTCTGGGCACTGCAACTTCATAACAAATAAGCACCCTTGAAAAACCACGTTAAGGGTTCACATGAGATGACCTACCAACCCACCACACAGGAAGGTCAGAGTGAAACAGAACCCCGAGTGAGCTTTGCAAATGCCTCACTCTTCATGATAGTATGAGGGCAATACTCATTCCCAGAGTCACGCTTACCCAAAGGACACCTCTTACTCTGTACAGCACCGATGAAGAACTTTGCCCTTTGCCTAGAGAGCTGCTCCTGTGGATGGGCTGTGCACCCTGAATACACACCTTCAATTCCCACAGCCTGACTGTGCCCAGTACAAACACTCCTCTACCTCAAGCTTCCCTGCTGCTGGCCACCCAGAAGCAGAGCAATGCTTGCTCAGGGGCTGCTGGAGCCCATTCCCAGTGGGAGGTCTTCCAAATAACCTCTGAAGTACAGTGACACCAAAATAGTCACTAGATGAAAGAGATAAAGGTAATTATTAAAATCTTACTAACAAAAAGTTTCAAAAGTTCTCTCCAGCAGCACATCATTTTGTTAATGTATCAGACCATGAAAGCCAGCAACTCACCTAAGCAGAACAGCAATCTTCAATCCAAAGCACATGAGATCACTGAACACAATGGCAGAATAAGATGGGAACACATTTCCCTTCCCAGCGCCTGTTAACGAAGGTGAGGCAAGAAAAGAAAGGAAGAAGAGGAGGAAGTAGAATTTGGGATAGGGATATATAGGTAGAAACAGGTATCAAGGAGTACTATAAGATTGCTTTAACCTCAAAGCAAAATTTAACAAGAAACAGTATGCTGTGATTTTATTCTCTGGTTACACCCACATCAGAAACACTAGCAAATACTGCTAGTACAGCTATAACAGTTGAAAGAGCTTGAAGTAAGGGATATATTATTGCAAATCTGTAGCAACATAATGAAAGCAAACATCTGAAGCTAAACATCACAGAAATACACAAGAACCCCTTTGAAGTAGCCCACCACTAGACTTGGTCTTGAAGGGACATTTGGGACCACTTAATCAGAGTGTGCTGACAGTGGCTGTGCCAGCACCTAAAACCAACACCAAGTCAAATGCGGTGGTAGTGCAGAAGAACATGGAATTGAAAATCATATATTTGAATCAAGTGCATTACACGTAAGTATAACACGCAGGATGTATGCTGAAATCAGCACAAGTAGTCTTAAGTAACAGGTAAAAGCAACAAAAACTAAGGTCAATTTAAAAACAGTTAGCATCTTTTCAGTGTTTGTCACCTTGCATCATCTGGGAACCACACTCACACATCAGAGTTCTGTGGTGCAGGCAGGTGTACAAACACAGCAGAAACACGGTCCTTTTCCCCAATTACCCTGCAGGATATGAGCCCAGTAAGAGAGTGCAGGAACATGCAGGCAGCTGCACAGGCAGGGTGCAAGGCAACAGGCAGACTCTGCTCAGGCCAGCAGGCAGAGATCTTGGCACACCACAGTGCCCACCACATAGATCTCTGGCCACAGGCACTCTAGGACTTCCTCCCCACCTTACTGACCACTCTGACCTGTATGGCAACAAGTGCTTTTCAACCTTTGACACACCTCTAGGACGAGTTAAATATATAGACAGCAGTGGTAGAGGCTGACAACATGCACAGGGTCTAAAGAGGAAAGAACATCTATTCCCTCCTAGGCTAAATCCAGAGCACATGGAAGAAATTAATTCTCATCAGAACTTCTTTTTCTCCATTTCACATGCCAGGGGCCATGGTGCACACCTGCCTCTATTGCCCAGCACCACACAGGAATAAAGCCTGAAGACTGCACAATAACTGCTCAAGAGGAAAATGAAAACCCTGCAAGGGGAGTGGGTTTTGGGTGGATGTATTTTGTGTTTGGGGGGGAGGTTTGATACCATCAGTAAGTAGTCGTGTTTATTTGGTTTGGGTTTTGCTGTTGGTAGTATATTTTTAAAAACGTCCTCCTTAGGCCAGAAAGACTTTTTCATTTTTCTGACCCCATCACAGGCCAAATATTGCCAACAAATACCCTCCTCAGCTGCCAAGAACAGCATGCCTGCCAGCTGGGAAACGAGGTATTTTACCACTGCATAGCCTTTGCTTGCTGTACTTGTGTAGTCACCCACTCTCACTCCTCCTCATCCAGCAGGGCCCTCCATTTCAAAAGTTGCCCACACTTGATCCTCACCATGGCCCTCCTCCTCTCCAAGACGGAAGAGCTCAAGTTACACAGGCTTCATCTCAGGAGGTAAACATGAGGAAATGGAACAAAGGCCAGAGACAAGCATGCTGCCCTCTCTGCCCTGCCCGGGGTATAAAGGGGAGAAGAGCAAGAGAAGCGCTCAGGAAAGCTGTCTCACTGCTCCCAAGAGAAGTGGCTGAAGAATGCAGCGAGGGATGCATCTGCCTGGAAACCCCGCAGGGATGAATTTGCAGAGCCAGAAGCTGAAATCCCTTGGTCTTGCCTATGAAGTTAGTGTTTTGGCAGGTGGAGGGAGAGCACAGGCACCACACATTGGGACAAGAGGGTACCCTGACAGCAAGAAGACATTGAGCCTGCTGCGACAGTGATTTTCTATCCTGTATGAACCAGACATTAAGTACTAATACATCACACCTGCAATGCCACCAGCTGCCTTCAGAATTCCACCCAACATCTTCTGCTAAAGCTTGCAAAAAGAAGGCTCCTTTTTGACAGCAGATCACCACCCTAAGCTAGGCACACCTGCTCACATCCATGGGGCTCCGAGGCATCTCCTTGCTGTGCAAAGGCCACATGGTGCCCACTGGAGCTTGGCACAAGAAGCAGTGTGGCAGCTGTGTCAGGCTTGCCCTGTGTCTCCTCCACCCACCTCTGCAGGCAGAAGTTGTTCCAAATTCTGCAATCAGAGGATATTCTGCTTCAAGTGCTTTAATTACTGTAAGCAGTTCACTAATTACAGTAGTAATGATTGGATTATGGCCAGTTAACAGCCTTAAAGAAACAAGCCATTATAGGAGGGGGAGGGAAATACTCCTTTGGGTTTAGGATAGAAACTAATTTCACCAGTCCACCCTGTAGGAGGCTGTTAGTAGCTGGCTGGGTCAGACTATTTGCAACATGCTGCAAAAGCAAGGAGCTGTGTAATGTGTCACTAAATGATACACTGGCACATGAAAATTATCAGTGTTGGAGAGGTGTGTTTGCAGGAACAGAAGGTCTTCTGTTAATGTGCTGATCCCGTGTGCTCCAACACCTCTCCATGACTGGACTCAAAAGACATGATGCAGGCAGATGTGTGTATGCTAAGTTACTGACATGGTATCATGCCTGAGATGCTTTGTTTCAGCATGCAAGTCATGAATATAGGCCTTTTAGAAAGCCTTAAGAGAGACCTGCTAGCTTGAACCAAACAGCTAAATGCAACCACTCACACTACCAAAAGCCAAAGGCACTCACCGAAAAGAACAGAAACTTCCTTTCACTAGCAATTGCTGCCAGCATTGGGAGGACCAGAAATCCATTCAAGTAATGGGCAGGGAGGTTCCCTCCACGCCTGACACATACAGCTCCTCACTCTTTCACACAGTCTGACTACAGAGCAGGCTGCAGAAAAGCAACTGGACCAATGGATCCTTGCAAGAAGTTCTGTCCCAATGGAGACACTGCAACAAGAAGGACTGCCAGCTCTGGAAGATGAAGTTTTTTGTGGTCATGCCTTTTCTGAGAAAGACAAGAAGACTCCCAGATATGAGGAAGGCACGATTACCAGATACACAGCCTCTCCACCTTGAAGGGCACCTTCCAAAAAAGAGGAAAGCAGTAGCCTACCTTACAGAAGAAATCCCCAGTGTGTTGAAACTACAATAAAGGCAAAAATACTCATTCACAGGTGACTACCCTGATAGTACTGCCAGCCAGCAGTGTGCCATGGCCCTGTGGGTCAGGTAGCTCTGCCTAATCAAGAAAAGCCAATCCTTTGCACCACCACCAGTCACTTTTACATCTCCACTCACCCTAGGAAAAGCAGGTCTCTACACCTCATGCTAGCCCTCACTCACAACAGCCAGCCCTCGGTGGTAACATACCACCACTGTACCCCTGCACAAGCTGTTCATTTATTCCCCTTGCCCCCCTCAGCAGTATCTTGCTCTGCTTGGTCTCCTTGTTCTCTTTTCCCTTCAGAGGTCTTCAGCTGAGGACTGGCAGAAACTGAGCTTGGTATCGTTGGCTGGAGGGCGAGGATTTCTGGCAAGAGAAAACCAGTGGATCTGGGCATCTTGCCCAGAGTGAGTTCACACTTGGCTCACCACAGCTGGAAATAGTTTCATCTCTGGCCAGAGTTCCCCAACGGCCCAACAAAACCCTAGGGAAACAGCAAGTTTCCACACGCTGGCCATTTTGAAACAGACTGAAACCCCGGTGTTCATGACTGCAGTAGCGCGCTGCACGCAGCCAGCCTTCCCCGCACAGCGCAGCCGCCTGCGACTGCCACTGCCAAGGGCGCCTGATGAGCAAGCACTGACCAAGCACAGGGTCTCTCCCTCTGTGTGCACAACCAGCTGGGGCCAACACCAACGCTTCCTCTGGAGATGCCCCTCTTGTACAGCAATACTGTGAGCAGGGCTAGGGGGAAAGCAGAGGCTTGACAAGCACACCCCCGTGCTCCTCTTACCACCACATGCTTGCACCTGGGTTACTGCTCTTCTGTACTTCTTAAGTGGGAGATGTCCACATCTCCAAAACCAGGTAAGACATGTAGGAAACTCACCTAGAAGCATAAATATGCTTAAAATTTTGGAAATTATTTCGGCTGCAGTCGAAGTTTTCCTTAGGAAATTAAGTATTTTCCGTTGCAATAAAGCCTGACACAGATATGGTCTAAGCAGCTTTAAACTGCCTCCTTTTTTGGCACTGTTTAACAGTTAAGAAACTAGCTTGCTTTTTTTTCAACCATGGAGTCAATTTCTACGGTTTTCTTGGGGATAATACATTTAAGTAGCACAACTAACTTACCATGTACTGAAAGGTAGATTTCAATAAAGCGAATGAGGGGGATTACAGGTAAGTACTTGGGTAGCAAGAGAAACTTGGCTGCTGTAGAGCCAAGGAATCTGGCCAGGAAACAGGGCTCTAGGACGCACACATCATTTTCCATGATGAAGAAAAGAGCACTCAGCTGGGATGCAGAGACCATACATGGTTCTCTCACTCTCACATCTCTCAGAGGCCTTTATGGGCTAGCTCCTGCAGGGAAGATGTAACAGCACAACTTCTTCCATTTACAGCAGCAGTGAAGTTCAAATGCTTAGCATTATATGCTGCAGTGAGGAGTAGCAAATGCCCTGGCTGCCTGATCCAAAGGACATGGAAAGCAGAAGTCCTTCCTCTACTGCCAGTTGGCCCTGGTTCAGCACCTCTGCAGGACATGAGGGTCATCCTCAGCATTATAAAAGGAAACGTCAGTATTCCACGTGAAATTTCTCTAGCCATCCAGCAGTGTGCTCATAGAAGGAGCAGAGCAAACCAGCTGCCCATTCACAATATGCTGTGTGATACATACAAGACTTCACAAGGGTCACTCTGAAAGATGAGGGCCATGCATAGGACACATGAGCAGAGCCCACCTGTGCTATCCTGAAGGGCAGGCCCTACACTGCAGCAGTGCACAGTCACTGCCAAGTCAAGCAGACTGACCAAGAAGCAATCAGCTGATCCATCAAGTCACCCCTTCTTTCCCACTGACCACATAAGTTACCTAGGAGGATGTGGAAAAAGCTGCTACTTAAGAAGCCTGCCCTGCAGCCTCACCTGCCTATGAACCATCCACACTGGTGTTCCCAGTAGCCCTGGACTGCTGGTATTCAGAGACCTACTTGAAACCACTGCAATCTGACTGACAGACAGGCAATACAAGACACACATTAGTGGTGTTCACTGTAGTGAGTGTAGCCAGGCATGGTCTTTTCGCTTGTCACCACTTCCCATCTTGGCTCTAATACAATAGAAAAATGACAGGTTTGCTGTCATTCCTCACACCACAGGGTTGAGCACATTTCCAGTCTACATAGATAGAATGACAAATCAAAGACTCATCTGGATGAAAGACCAAAATCCCCTCTCTTTATGCACGCATACCCCAGTTCTGCCAATGGGAGCCGTTTCAGAGTACTGAGGGTTTAGAATATCTCTGCAGAGTCTCATTCATGCTGTAGTGCTTCAGAGCAGCCATGCATTTGGAAGCAGAGTAAGAGAGGACAAATACAGGTAAAGCATGAAGACAGCAAGCTGCAGTACATATGAGAGCTGGCTTTCAAAGGTCTGACCCAGCCCTTACCAGTAAGATACACTCATTGCCAGCTGAAAGGCAAAGACACAACGACAGGAAACCAGCATGCCGAAAAAATGGTTCTGTTTTACAGCCTAATAGGGAGCCAAGAGGTTAAACTGGCACCAGGCCACACCACATCCTATGACCAAGTTCTGCTTTCATACAGTAGGGGAATGAGAGCAGGGAAAGCAATGGGAGGAAGGGAACTGGAAGCAATTTAATTAATCATATTATTAATTAATTTTAAAATTAATCATATTAATGCCAGTGCCTTTGTTCACCTAAGCATCTTTTGGATGTAAGATGCTCTCTTACTGGCTCAAGAAGTCCCCTATTCTGCCTCAGGGATCTGAGTGACTACTGGGAACCTGTATGTCACTCTCATGCGCCAAGGTCAAAAAGAAGTGGTGGGTGGTTCTACAGACTTCAATAGAAGGCTTTTCTGGCATGACTAACACCAGACAGACAGTACTGCTGCTGACAAGTCTATCTCACCACTCTTCACCAACTCATCCCCACAAATTCCATCTCTGAGTAACAATGCTTCACCCCCAAAACCCCAATGAGAGCAAATCCTATGCCTCTATGAAGAAAAAGCAACTGCCTTTCTTGC